AGGGGACCATTTTGAAAAAACGCCCAATGTCCTGAAAGACCCTCCTTGTAAGGCTTATGGTTGCTCTCGTTGTTAACAATAAAAGATGTTTTACGCGGTTCTGAATGCATTTCCACCGCATGCCCCCATATATTGCGATAGCACCCTTCAAGCCCTAAAAAGCTGGATAGAGCGTTTCAGGCTCACCTATACTGTTTGTGTCAGTTCTGGCTTTCCCTAGCCAGACCCATTCCTTCGAGTCTTCATCTCGTCCACCTCCGCTTGACGATGACGAGAGTCGAGAGAGAAGTGGAGCAACCAGCTTTTCATATCTAAAGGCGACTTGTAGCAGTATGGTAGCCTATTTCAATCACCCACCCTTCACTTACCCTCTGAAGCTTGTAGCCCTTTTCGAGAAGAATTTAATGACAATTCCGAAGAGAATCAACACAAGAATCAAAGCTAGAACTGAGTCCATCCGCCAGACTGAGGTCGTCTCAGGTGCTTGGGTGGGAGTTGTGGCTGAAAAGACTAGTCGGTAACCCCTAACCCATCTAGTAGCTGGACAGTTCTTCAGATGATTGCTCCGCTGACAGAGCTTTCCTTACCGTTCGTGGAGAATCGTGCAGCCGCTAATCGGCTCGAGTCCACTCCGTCGAACTGAACTCTCAACGGAACTTGCAACATCACCAATGGGGCCACGTCGGTGTCAGTGCAGTGAACCGGTGGGCGAAGTTCAAGTTGAATGTACGGGTCGGACAAATCGTCCAGAGCTGAAACTCGATGTTTACAAATTGTTCTCCAACGGAGCTGAAAAATACAACCTGATAAGACGGTGTTAAAAAACGTTGCTCGGGAGCTATCTTGAGGAAATATTCTTGGAAAGACAAATAGCTTTGCAAACTTGTAGCTCCACAAAATTTACAGTGTTAGGCAGTTTTGATCAGTCAGTTGCCTTGGAGGATTAGCGAATCAATTTTTATTTGATTGGAGCCTTAATCGAAAATTGGACCAAATCTTTTGAAAGGCAAACAAAGACATCTACGGTCAAGTGAAAGTAGTAATTTGACCCCCCCCCCCCCCACAAAAATGTGATAACAACGATGGAATCCCGACGAAGTGGAAGGCTATGTTGGTCTGAATGACATTAGATCTCGATTCTTTTGGTCAATACGACCCTCCTTTTTCCAACCCTCACGATTGTCAGGACCCCTTTTCTTCCCCCATGACTCCTCACTCCCTCCCCATCGAACATCCACCCTACGACGGTCGGTGGTGTCGATACGGTGTTGAACTTTGCACTCTTTGACACTGAAAATTCAAAAACATATCTAGCAGGAAGGGGGAGGGCAAACTCAACTGCAAGGCAAGTTTTATGCCATTTCCCCATATTTCAGATTACCCTATAAGCTCTTTTCCTCCCTTTGAAGGCGAATACGAGATCTCTGTCAAAGAATTCCCGACAGTGCCTTTCCTAGTGTCCTCAGTAATTCATGCATAAATAGATTGGGACAGTGGCTAGAAAAGCATGCACTGCAGTGGCGCTGAAGCAGTTCCATAAAATTAACCTATCATGTCGATTCCGTTCTGAACCTTGTGGGCTAAGGCGATTACGCGCTCATCGGAGCTTTGCGATGTGAGGGTGAAATCGGTGACCGTGACGTCGTCCAAAAATTCCATACTGTCGTCGGAGTAGTACAACTGGTAGAAGAAGCTGCCATGCTGAAACCGTACAGTGTTAGCGTTAATCTAAAACCATAAGCCTAGGCTGCATCTCCCTTTCACTTACCTGGAAACCCTCCTTGAAAAAGAAAGATTGCAGCATGAACTCTTTACTGAATCTGCCGCCCTGTCTCGACCAGCATCTCAGCTAACCGAAGAACATCGATGAATAAGATAGAGTCTCATAAGGAAGCTTAATTCTGTCCTCTGCAATAACCAAAACGACATAGACGAAGAGTATGAAATCAATCGAGTGCCCCTCCTCTAAGCAGGTTACGGTGTGTGCCAGCATAGATGCGACCATGGCACCAGTGTAAGCTGTAAGCAGAGAGCCAGCGGAAGCGAGGATTGTGGCTTTTTAAAGGCCTGACATGGCAACGCATTGCATGCGCTTTGGCCCTGCCAATACTTTCTGAGCTCCACCTTCGCCTGTGCTCCACCACTAGCAGTGCCCTTCCACTACCATTGAAGCGTATTGCACTTTGAACGGTGTTACCCTATAACCTTTCGGTAGAATTCGTTACCAATCAAAGCATGGTGTTGGTGGAAAGGAGATGCTGCCAATTGGTTTGAGAACTGCAAATGACCCTTATGGTTAGTTGATTGCTGGCTCGTCCATTATCGGGAGGTCAATGGGCAAAGAAAGGGGGTTCCATTTTGTTGTTCTTGACGGATTCCTTTGCATTTTTTTGCCACTGGGGCACTAGTCAGCGTCCACACTCCATTCGGGATCCTGTCGTAAGCCCTCGTTGTGAAGGAGAGATTCGGAATCTCTCGCTTAAATTGAGCTTCTCTTCGAGGTGCTGAGGCCCTGGGTTGCAGCATTGGCCCTGGCCATTGGCCCCAATCACAAACCAGTGCTATTCCTCTTGCGCTACTGGAGGAAGGGAGTTCATTTCCACCTGCAAGTTTCTTCACATTTTTTTCGGCCATTGAACGTACAGTTCACAACCCACAATTTTTTTTCGCCACTGACGTTATAGTTCACACCTCCACTGTCACTTACAAGCCTATTAACACGACAGTTTGATTCCAGACTTCGCCTTTGAGTACCGCAACAGTCCACCCGATTTTTGTTGGATGCTTATTGAATATTTCCGTGGTCATATAACTCACATAGCGAATGCAGAAACAGGATGTTTACCTGGTAACGATGCTGAAAAGTCGTCTCGAGCGTGGTGACGACGTCGTACTGCGCTCGTTTCCCGGCCGTCGGCTCGATGTTGATGTTCATCTCAACGATGGGTAGCGCCGTGAGCCTCGTTACTGTAACCGTTTCAGCGGATACCACCAAGGTCGTGCTGCCAAAGTCGATATTCGGCGTCTGCGCTTTGATCACGATCCTAAAAAACACATTTTGTCACCAACCCGAGTAACCTCCAGCGAAAGCATTCACCTCGTTTCACCCGGCTGAACGGCTTGAACTATTACTCGGTTTTTGTAATTTCGAATTGTCGCTATCGACCGGTCGGCGCTCACAATGCTGTAAATAAAAATCCTTATATTTGCTGCATCCTTGTTTTTCTAAGCCTGGTGGTACCAATGGAGCATCAACTAATTCTCAGGTCGCCAGTACCGACCGCTAAGGGATGCAGTAACACCGCTGCTCAAGCAGGAGGTAGTCTCAGAGGGTAAATAAGAGAGTCTCCTCCCACCTGTCGGCAGCAAGCGAAGTGACGTCGAACATGATATCACGATGACCGCTCAGATACATTCGTTCACCAGTGCGTTCATCGCTTACTTGGAATGAGGCGAACACTCGAAGCTGAAGTTGGTATTATCCAGCTCAGGCCAATAGTGAGAAAATAGGCCCTAGCCCACTAACAGCAGGGTAAAACCGCTAACCTCAGTTTGCTGGAAACGATTACCGCAAGCGAATTGCTTAGCAGCCCCTTTATGCTGTCGTTCACCTTGTAGGATCTTCCAGACAGTGATCGGCCAGCCAGAAATCGAGTTCAGCACTGGATCGCGTAGCCACAGCTGAAGAATATGTGCGACTCAAACGCGAGAGGCAGTTGTCGATCTTTGGCCTAGTGGTTAACGCGTCCGATTACTGTGCGCGCGTCGAAAGTTCGACTTTCGCGTTGTTAAAAAAGGCTATGATGATCTCCACAGACCTGTACCAAGTCAATGTGAGGAAGTTATATCACACGACAGAGCCTCCTTTAATTCGTGTATGATACTACCCCGATAAGGGTTTTGATATGTGGTTTCCGTACCGTAATTGGAAGCCGAGGGTACCAAACGGTGAATCCAATAAACGCCGTCCATTTCTCGTAGTGCACGTGCACCTTCACGTTTTGCATTCCTCGTAGCTCTGATCCGTCAACATAAACCTGAAAAAAGGCAGGGCTGAGGTACTAATCAGGGTCAAGTGTAGCGTCAAGGAGAACCTTGACCCCTTGTCAATATTTTCTTGACACCTCACAAAATTCCGTCAAATGATGGAAGATTATACTCGGAAGTGTCTCAAATATAAGATAGAACAACAGGAGCCCCGAATCTGTCGATCCTCAAAAATCTCTGGGAAATCTCCCTGGAAATCCCTAACGAACCCTTGAGCACTGAAAGCTTGGAGAACAGGGGAACACCCATAGGGAATCAGGGTCAACCGTCCGTTCGCGCTATTCGAACGAAGGGGTCACAGTTGTGGTTTCAGGAAGGGGGTCCGTTTTTGGGGTTAAGCAAGGTTATCGTAATATTAACGGAAGCTGGCGGAGGTTGAATATGGTGAAAGTGGTGAAAGAGTGAGATTCAGGTGAAACTCCTGGAATTACTGCTTCGTGGTACCCGTTTACCAACCCCCCCCCTCCATGGTGGTGAGAGCGGTGTAAACTGATGGTTTTGGTTGGTGGGTCGATCGGCACCTTGGGGGGGGGTTAGCGGAAGATTTGTGAAAAAGCTGCGAGCGTGACGGCTGACCTGTAGCGGAATCTGCACACGCCACACTTTTGCCCTAGTTCCTGCACTAACTTGGCGACCTCACCGAGGCATGTGGAGCTCGTTTAAGTCCCGCGATTCGGCTCGAGACTGCAGTTGCGAACGAGCTGTAACGTTCACGAGCACACTCCACCCAAAGAGGCGGTGAATACCCTCATCGAGGTTGTGCTCTGCTGGCCGGACAGTACTCCAGTGTTGATGAGATCGGTGTTCTGAAAAGGAACTGCTTTCTTGAATTTTTTTTTCTCTCACGAAATACATGCATGCTACTCCTAAAATTCTGAAACTGCTGGAAAAGAGGATTTTCGCACACCATTGATTTTTCTTGAATCAATAGAAAGTCACGTCCTTCTTTTTTCGATAATCGGAGTCTACTTATTTACTTGTTTCTTATCTTCTATTTGAACTTTGAAGCTGGTAAGGAAAACTGTTTGAGGGTCTAGTGATGATCACCAACGGTTCTAGATGTGATGGCTGGTTAAATCGCGAAGATAGGTGACGCTTACTATTATTGAATTGATTTTTTTTTGTTTGTTTGTCAACTGCTAATGACGGCGCATGCTGCAAAAGCCTCGCAAGAAACGCTGGAAAACTGCAAAAACAACTGCGCGGAAAGCGAGAAGCGCAAGTTATTCCCGACCGGGGCGAAGAGTTTGCACATCACCGAGAATGCTTGCGACCAGCACCTTTTGATCATAAGAGAAGGCCAAATTACCTTGGAAACGTAAAGCGTTAATGGGCGAAAAGGGCGAGTAGCAAGTCGGGCCATTACCACGGCGGCGGCCCGGATATCTGAATCCTGGGGTCTGACGGTGTCCGCGGGCCAACGAAGGCCCCAGATTTGTCTGATAAGATAAAAAACCCTGAGTCGTGCTTCGGCTAGCCCCTGCAAGTCATCGTATGATTCAAACCTTATTCAAGTGCCACTACGATCGCATAAATGGAAGTAGAATGCGTGTCGCACCGTATTAAAAAAAAGAGATTGATCAACGGCAAATGCTTTATCCTTTTTTGCTTCCATTTCTTCCATTGTGTGCAATCTCATGGTATGTCCAGTGGATTGCTTTCTGAGACGTTAATCTAAACCTCAATATCACTCCGATCCTACCAAAGGACCCTTAAACGCAAGAATCAGGATTATATTGAATGATTCCACTTAGCTGTGAAAGATAGGGATGGGTGAATGGCCACCCAGTGGAAGAAAAAAGGAAAGAAAATCCTGGAATACAGGAATACGAGCATTTTTGCTCCATGCTGTGGAAAGTTCAAAAGACAGGCAGGGAGATGAGAGATAATGTGAGCGCGGAGAGTGGTAGAGAAGTCCGAGAAGAGAGAGCATAGCACATCAACGTGGCGACGCAGACAAGATATCGAACGGTGGGCGGACCATGTTAAGTTTGGTGGAGTCTGTTAGAAGTCCATGGCGCCTAGGGTCCTAGTGACGCGTTTCGATGTAGAAAGGTGGCGCTACCTTTGCACTTGCGTACCCAGCACTTCTAGCCATGGTAAGGGCTTCTTAGGTGAGTCTGAGCGCGAACCTTGCCTTTGACACTTTCAAAAAATGCCACTTACGCGTATTTTTCAGTAAATTTCTTGCTCACATCGCAGCTTCTACTTACCTCAAAATTTGAAATGAGAACCAGTTTTGATGTTTATGCACACGATGAAAATTTGAGCAAATTGGCCGTATTGGGGTTGAAGTCTTTCATATCCACTTTACACTACGGTGTTATCGCCTTTTGGAATTCTGTGTTTTTCTTGCTTCACTGAACACATCTCTGAGTTTGTCTGAGTGACACGTTGAAGGTTTGTCCGAGAGCTTTTCACTTCGAGGAAACCGCAATGCTACTGCTGTCAGATCGGTCAACTCCCCGCGCCGTGGCAGAAGGCTGTTCACTCGCATTGACAGGCTGCACTTTGAAGAGCAGTTTTTGCAGTTATATGCAGACTACTGAGCATTTCAGCGCAAATTCTTCTTTATTGCAAGTGCAGGTTTTTATGACCACTCACTTCCTCTTCGATTGCCTCAAGACAATTCAGGTTCTTGAATCTCGAATGGAACTGCGTGGGCGCACCGGCTGTTGCATGCCGACACTCGCGGTGGAAGCTTGATGTGAGCTGATATTTTGAGTTTTGAGTATTTTCTGTGCTTTCTTGACAGAATTTCGAAAATTCGAGAGGGGAGGAGACGTTTGATGGAGAAGTGAGCAATTCGCCTATCTTTGTGTAGGTGATTTCTTAGGCAACGCAAAGTGGGAGAGCATTTATGGAAGTCGCGAGGAAGTAATTTTAGGAACCTGCACTTTCGGGCCGAGAACGGGTGAATGGTACAACAAAGCCGTGTGAGAAAAACATTTCTATTAGATTTCTTGAATGGACTCAAGAAAATGTGGGTCGGCGATGAAAGGACCCATTTTTCGAGCGATAGGAAGGAGCCAAGTCGAAGATCCTACCGAAACCAAAGCTCGTTATAGATTAGAGTGCCCCTCATTTCCAAAAAAATTGAATCTCAATAAAAAATGTTGAACGCATGTGGGATAAGGGCCAAAGCGGTTCCTCAAAGAACAACTGAAAACACAGAAGTGCGGGCTCGGACGGCTTAGTTAAATATTGCTAACCTGATGAAAGCAATGGACAATTCACTGACAAAAACTGGTTCATAAGCTCCTAGCTTTGCGTCGTCCTGCCAAATAAATGGCTAAAGAGTTCACAGGAGAAGACGCAGAAGTATTGAAGCTTCGTAGGAAAAGGCGTCACCCACATTCCCACACTTCACCACATTCGTCACCCACAAGCTTGCCTCGAGTGTAGAAGCCCGATCAAGTGACATCACCTCACTCATTTCCGCTTTCATCCAGAAGGGTACTACTGGAATCTCTGGGTCTCGACCAGTTTCCATGCTCAACGGATGCTTTGAATCAAGTATCCAGCACGGATTGCACAAATATGTAGGAAATCGCATGTCGATCAGCTTGAATCTTGTCGCTCCAGAAAACCAGAAGTGCGTCGAGTGCAGACCACACACCACAAGTGACGACGGCCTCCAAGTAAATCTGGTAATAGTGATTCATAGTGATAGCTGATAGTTGGTAAATGATAGTTGTAATTAGTGACAACTGATAGAATACAACTGCAACAGGCTAATCATTTCATTGGCAGAAAACATTTACATTTTGTGGAGGCCGTCGTCACTTGTGGTGTGTGGTCTGCACTCGACGCGCTTCTTTTTTGAAGCAGAGTATACTTACCTAAGAACGAGTAGCGCAGAAATGAGGCTAATGAAAGACTCAAATGTTCCACTTTCCCCAGTTTATTTTAGGATATATTTCGATAAGAAACTATGTTAGTGTGGGCGGAAGTGGTGTAGTGGCAAGTGGCACGCTTACCACGCGAGCGGTCCGGGGATCAAATCCTGGGTCGTGAGTCGCCCGGGCCAACCAAGCCTTCCATCCCTCCGGGGTCGGTTAATTGGTACCAGACTTGTCTGGGAGGATAAAAACACTGACTTGTACATCGGCTGGCCCCGCAAGTCATTGTATAGGCCACATCGCATTCAAACGCCACTACGAATGTACAAATGGAAGTAGAATGCGTG